CCTGCCGATGGCGGATTCCGTTCGAGTAGAATCGCGCGCCTCGCAATATCCCACTTGCCCTTCAATCGCTATACTTATATCTCATAAATCACAATAGAAGATCTGGGAATTGAGTGTCGTATCTTTAAAATTTTTATACGAAATGGCAACGTTCATGTTAACGCGGAATATAAAAGAGCTAAAACTTAATTTTCGATATGGCTAAAGATTTTTTCGTTTTATATGCGATATATTTATTTTTCTGATAAAAATAGAATATGGTTTAATTTATCGATTTTCTATTTTTCTAGGCTTTATTACGTGCTTTATTCATTAAGACCTCTCGAGTACTTGATTTATCTCTCAAGTAGAATTTATATTTTCCATGATTGGGAAATACGTCAACATCTTTTCATTTAAAATTTGCCATTTACCTCTGATCTTACATCGCCAAAATATATTAGGTTGATAAAATAGTACACAAGTGCAATATGTAAATGTGTGTGATAAAGATACTATTGCAGCCACCGATTCGCACTTTTCCGACACCTTGTACCCGTTGATGACGTCAATAGCCAATATTACCTTCTTACAGAATTTGCGTTATCGGATCACCCACGTACCGCAATAAGTAGTAAATGACACTTTTCTCTTTTCAAGAGGATAGGAATTACGGTATGACGTAGGAAATTTAATGAGGCAATTAATTAATGAGAAATTGTATAGTATTCATTTTAACATTTATACATCGTTGTATTGGATGTAATATCTCTGATCTTTGCAATATAAAAAAAGTTTCATGCTTACGCTATCTTGAGACCAGCAATGGAATTCTCTAGAAGCTTGATAAAGAGAAAGATCGATTAGAAAAAAAATGTATCGTTAACATTTATATACAATATTAAAATATGCATGATACAAATTACCTTCAAGTCCCAAACTACAAGTTGTCCGTCTAAACTGCTTGTGCTAAATTCATGATCGGATACTCGGCGAACGCAGTTGATTGTGTTTTGATGCACGCTATCCAAAGCATTATCATTCGTCTCGCTTCTCGCTTGTCGATCTAGCGATTGGAATTTTCGCATAGCAGATAATCCAGCAATCTCCTTTTTTTGCGTGTTGTCCAACTTTGAAACAAAATATATTTGTCCGTTGTCATCTACGGAATATAACATTGGCATACAGCTATGCCCCTACGAAAAAGGAGAGAGAGAGAGAAAGAGAGAGAGGGTTACCAATTAGTGCAATAAATATTTTTATCGAATAATCTTAAAGATAATCTTTTAAGAATCGCTTACAGCAGCAACAATGTTATTAGAACCTATCCAAATGCAGCTTAAAAACGGTAAATGCTCTGTATATAGTCTCATGACTGCATATCCTTTAGTAGCATCACCAACACATACGGACGAGTTGTGTGCTACCCAACAGATTTTATTGCCACATGGACTAAATGCTACTGAATGTATCCAGCCACCTATAAAAGCAACGATTAAAATGCAATTCTTTATAATATAGACAGAATGTATACATATATTTATAATTTACACATATTTCAAACGTGAATACAAAAATAATTAAAACATAATAGAATAAAAGATGACGATATTACCTCCATTGGGTGTATTAGGAAACTCAGCCAACAATGTTCCTAAGGTATTACTCTGTCCCCAAGCACTAGTACCAGGATCCTCCATATCACTGATAAATGCACTGAAGACACGGACTTTGTAGTCCGTCGATCCCGCGACCAGAACCTTATTATTAGGGTGCCAATCAACGGTAGTTACCGTAGACCTCAATGGACGCTTAATGTGTTTACATAACCACCAATTATTCTCTGATACAAAGTAACAAACAGCTATAACTCGTCCTCCGGAACCCACGGCAAATTTATTTTCTGTAATGACAGTCTTTGTACAGAGCTGTAACAAATTTGAAGTAAATTCTTTCGGACGCGCATAGAGGGTATGTATACCTAAAGGAGACCATTTTACACAAGTAGCGGCTCGATTTATTCGCAAAAGAACCCAAGCGGGATCCCACTTGCCGTCTTCTTTCTGAGTCCATACATAGGCATTCTTGTCTGCGGAACAGGTGACTATGCGATTGGTTTTTGGCGCCCAGTCGATTCCCATGACAGCCATGTGATGTTCCTCCAAGGTCTCGAGTAACTTCCATCCGGATGAAGTACGTTTGTGCACTTGGATCTCATTGTTGTTTGGGCATACGGCAACCTCTGTGACAACGGCTCGATTATCGCATCCATTATACAATACGATCTAACTATAGCAGCTATCTAGAGAGGAATCTATTACGAGGGGGAAGGACGGTACCAGAGTTCTTCCGTACCAGTTTTATCTCTGTTCCACGCGTGACAGCTGATGGCATCGACACCCAAGTTGTAGACCTCCGTCATTTCGCGATTACCCTTAGTAAAAGAGGATGTATCAAGACGATTGCGTGGGATGTCGAATACTGTCGAAGGCAGCGATGATGAATCAGCGTAGACTCGAAGAGAACTCGAGGTGAACGCGGGGCACGCGGGCTCGACGGGCGCGGTCGTCGATTAAATCTTATTAAACGAGACTCTGCCGACTGCCGTTCGAGCGATCGTGTGCGGTGTGACGCGTACGCCGTCGCCGCCGGTGCTCACGGAAATTCGCGGACTCTGGTCAGTCTACACGAATTTCCCCGGCCTCTTCTCACGATCGCAAAACACGCCTCTCTACACACCGGAATTGACAGTTCATCCGTAGATAGATAGTGGGTTATCTGTCTCCTCTTTCAGGTTATGTTCTCCCGGATATACGCAATATACGTATATACCTATATACCTATGTTATATACTGAAGACCGTGGAGTATAAAGACGAGCGCGCTGCTCTCGGCATCCGGCTTTTTTCTCTCCGCAGTCCGCCGCGCCGTCCGCGCCAGCGCCAGCGCTTCCTCTGCCACGACCTCTATCGAGCGTCGAAACAAAATGGCTAGGGAAACAAAATGGCGTTGGTAACTTTATAACCATACCAACCTGTCTTCAATGGCGAGAGTTTTCCTCTAGATTACTAATGCCCATTTCCACCAATATAGATTAACTTTAATCTCGGTTCAACTTACTCTTCGTCTTTTTCTAATCTTTAGAACTAGAAAAAGACAAAGAGTAAGTTGAACCGAGATTAAAGTTGATCTGCGTTGGTGGAAACGGACCTAATAGTTTCAAACCTGAAATAGGTTCAAATAGAGTCGATTTTGTAGAGTTGGTAACCCTACTGTTTTTTTTTTAGTAAACAACTGGGTCGGTGGTCGGGAACCGAATAAATTTGTCAAAAGAAGGACAAATATTAAACTTTCAAATAATTAAATTTTTATAACAATATATCTTGAACGATAGATCAAGAACGAGTTACTGGAATAAGGAATTCTTTGTGATTTGAAAATTAATATTTTTATCGATTTTTTTAAAAAGGTAAGGAATATAACACATTTAAAGTTTGTTAACAATCGTTGACAAAATTGTGGAGCAATTTCTCTTTACACTCTTTCACTAAATATAAATAATGATTTCTTAGTTTTTAAAACTATATATATTTATTTTTATATGTTCCTTTATTATACTATAAACGAGGGGAGGGGGAGAAATAAATAAAAGCAAAATAAAAATGAAGTAATTGAGATAAATCCAGGCCGCGTATAAGGGCCACTTTCACCAAGCTCAGTTAACTTAACCAGCCTAGTAACTGTAATGAAATAGAAAGAGATAGAAACAGTTCTATCTTTTTCTATTTCATTACAGTTACTAGGCTGGTTAAATAAACCGATGATGGTGAAAGTGACCCTAAGTCTGAATTATTTATCTTGTAAAATGTCTCTACATTTGATATTGCGTATTGTATAGTAGCGTATATTAATTTTGATAACTGAAGCTTCATCGCGATAATATAATATATTAATTGTAATATCGATATAAATAAATAACCAATTGTTACGTGTGTTATATATAGCGATTGCAACAGATTTATTTTCGCGGCGCAAATCGCTACTGTCGCTCTACGTCGCGTCGCAGCGCACAAAGCCAAAACACGCCCTCGTTTAATCCGTCTCGGTCATTCCATCGATGTGCCTTGCGTTTGATATATAGCTAAGGCCGCGTAATGAAATATTTTACGCAGTGCAGAGAGTGAAGTCATAAAATATCGATAGCGGTTGACACTGCGCCGTTTTGAATCGCGATTCTCAATTATTATGCAATAATCGTCGTACTTTTCTCATTTACATGCAAACTTTTTTGAAATCTATTATTGTGCACTATATAAATCGAGTATTAAAAATTTGCTTTACAATTTATAATTATATTTAATTTTTATAGTTTAATTAATATTTTTTAAATGAGATATATTGAAACTTATATGTATATTAATTGCAATATTGTATCATCAGATTTATTCACATATATATATTTTGTGTGTGCGTGCGCGCGCGTGTGTGTGTATGTTTGTACATGTGATATTCAAGTTAAAATAATTAATTTATTACGTACGTGTATGCAAATGTAGAGACAAATGGAAGAGACAAAGAGATTAAATTACTTAATTTTATAATATATTCCAAGATTTAATTAAATTTACTTAAGACGGAATAATTTCTTAATTACTAAATAAAATAGATACTTATGTCATTGTGTAACATAAACAACAAAATATTAAGCTATCTATATTTTCTACAACTTCAAGTTTTCAAAGTTTTGAATTTGTTAGTTGTTAAAATGATATGTATACAGCAACATATATATTCTACTTTACTATGCAAAGCGGCTTTTTACTTCTGGCTCTCTCAAATTAACTTTTAATGGAATTAACGAAATTCTATTACTACATAGATAAAAGCTCTCTTATAGCTTGGCGGTACATATCAAAAAAGACTTTTTAACATTTAATACAATGCGATATAATGGAGTTGTTATCTCGTTTTAGCAGATTGATAAACACGGCATTAATGTATTAATTCCTGCAAAAGTAGTAAAATTTTTACGTAAAATCTCACGTATTTCTGAGAGCAATAATGATTGAGATTAAAATGAGATTTATTTATAAATCTAATTATATAAAAAAAATGCAGTTATATTATCTAAATTAACATTAAGCGAAGGATTGACGTTTATTTCTTTTTTTTTGCAATTGGGACGTCATTGAAAATGAATAATCTTTATCTCGATTTTCAAGACAATATTTTTGTTTTACTTTTCAAGACAATATTAATTCTTGTTTTGATTCTAATATTCTTATTCTGAAGAAGAGACAATAATCTTTATTTCCATTTTAAAGACAGTACCATCTTTCCCATTACCCAAATGGCTCTATAGTGTCAACTTTACAAACGTTATAAAGTGAATACAATATTTCGATGTGGTCATAGTGAGAAAACCGGAAAACCACCTTCGCCACTGACAAATCAGTCTCTCGAGAATTGACCAGGTCTGAGTCTGGCAAACAAACTGGTTAGACCACACTCTACTACCTTGTGTACTTCGTACTAAATAACTATTTTCCAAGGGTGCCAAGTCGTTTTCGAAATCGACTGTTCGTCGAGCTTGAAGCTTTACTCTTATTATATATGCTAATTTGAATAATTTAAGCCCAAACAACTTGCTCGATTAATAAAAATAGAACTGTGAGCAGCTGCTGCAGATTATAGTGCCAAAGAAAATTGCATCGTATACATAATCGAATGTATAGTGTTTGTAAAATACTAGTTTAGATGCTGAATTATTTTCACGCAGAAACTTAAATAAATTTTTTATATTCTTCAATTGTGATATTTTCGAAATTAAACGACCAAAAATATAATTTTTTTTCCACATTACGTTAAATGTATTTTATTTGGTAATTTAAGCCAAATAAATTTTTCGAAAATTTTAATATTCGTTGTTTTACAAAGAATTAAAGCTCGCAATTGTGCGTGACATAACTGAAGTTTGATATCCAATTTTTTCACGTATAAGTCTTCTTAATCGATTTTACTATAGCTACGTCAGAATATATATACATATATGTATATAGGTATATATGTGTATGCGCGTACATTTTGTTCTTTTTGAAACGAAATTCCAAAAGTATTTTTTATTGCATTTTATCCAATCATTTCGGAAATACAAAATTATTCGTTATAATTTTCATGAAATCGAATGCATAAGTTGCAGCATTCGATTATCTACAAGAAAAATAATAAAGAATAAAAATAGTACTATATACATTTGTAGCTGAATTCTTTAGTTCTATTTCTATAGAGGTTTGTTTTTGGATCGATACCTGCGCGTAGGTTATTCTCAATTCAAGCCTACGTTTCAGTGATAGTTTTATTTGTGAAATATTTTTAAAATTAATTTTTATAAAAAGTTTTATCTTTATATATCTACGTATAGAACAAATTTTTTAACGAATCAAAATAAGATTATAATCTTTTTAATTATACACACACACACACACACATATATATATCTAAATTACAAGTACAAAAATTGATAAAGATATAGAAAATGGTGAAGAATTTTTATTTATTGTTAAATTTGCTTTTATTGTATGCTTTCTCGTTATTTTTGTATAATTCACATACTAAGTACGCGTTATTCATATGTATTTTGGTAAATATCTGGGTTTGTTTTATTCAAAAAACATTTCGAGAATATAATACGTAGATTGCATGAGCTGATAACGTTGTATTAATCTTTATTTTAATTCTGATGGGCTAAGTTGCCACAACTGTCGTGTTTAGATCTCGAGACGTATCTCTTGTTTCACAATCAGTGCTATTTAAGTCTTCAGCAACGAGAGAGCAAATCTTATTTCGCTCGGTGAGAAGAAATTTGACAGTAGACGATGAAAACGAGCAGAGATTTAAATTTCATTATTCTTTGTTCGTGTTAAATTAGCTCAGTTTTATTTCTTTGCATTTCGTTTCTACGTAAATTAAGAGTTATCAGATTTCGTTGTAGGCTTCTTCCTCTCTTGATCTAATAAAGTCTCGTGCGATAAAATGTGAGAAACGGCGGCATTACGATTTCCTGTTTAAATTATCCTCGCGCCAGCATCGCTCATCGAAGATAACGACGAGTAAGAAAATATGAAACTTCAATTTCCCCTTCTTCTATGTATCGAAGATTCCAGAGATGCGATGTATCTAATAAAATTTCCGCTAAAATATGCGATCTTGATCAAGTTGTTCGTTCGCGATAAGTTTCGTTGGAATACGGAAAATTCCTTTACGTATCACTACCGAAAATTTGTGACAAAGCATAAAGATGGAAAAAATTTCCGTTATCAATGATAATCAATAAATACCGTTCAAGGTTTTTTATAATTAATAAATTTCGAAATTTAATAATAATAAATATCTTTGAAGTCTCTTCCAGCAAATATGTTAGAGTTAAACGGATAAGTATGGTGTGCTAGATATATCGGATAATAGATGTCTGGGCGTGTTAAATTTCGTTGCTTTCGTATTTTTGCGTGAAACTGCAAATTCAGCGCTAGGAGATACATTTAGCTAAAATGTAGACCCAACGGACACGTTAATCTTTTCGTATGTTTGTTACAGTTTTATCGACCCAATCTTTCTCGATCAACGGACATTTAGATAAATAGATACAATAATACAACTGTACATGGCAAGTAAATTTGTTTTAAATGACTGTAGCATGATTTTTTTCTTCTAATTGTGCATTATATATACGTGTATAGCTTGGATTATAATGTACATAGATAATTAATACTTTTAAGTCAGTTAAAAAATGTTATTAAATTTCTGATG